CTGCAGGTAGAAGAAGCCAGAGGCACATTACCAGTTCATTTTTCGCTTTCCTTTGGCAGCCGACGTCATGTGCATGTAGGTCGGTTTGGCTCGTCGCATTTCTTGTAAAGTCAGGATCTGTTGACTGCAGAGCAGAGGTTCACGTTACCAAACAGTCTCTACTGACTTCTTATCAAAACATTCAATCAAAATAGCTTATTCATTTCATTTGTGGTGTATTGTGTAAGCCGCGTGTATACAAATCTGAAGCTTTGATATGTGATGCTTTGTTCCGATGCACCTGCATTGAGACATTTGGATATGCAAATATTGTGGTCTCTTTTTTTTAATAACACCTCAAGATAGAAAATGAGTAGATCAATGCTTAAGGATTGTGTGTTCCCGTTTTAGTTTCTGTAAACTATCCATAAGTTATATGACATTTTACCCCGTATAATCAGTTTAATGCTCAAAATCCTCTAGCATTTCCATACTTATACGAGGTTTAAATGATTATGGACAAATTTAGCCGCTCTAAACTCCATCTCTGGCATCGCTTTGGGGCTAAAGCTAATCCCAAGAGAGCAAATACTTCCGATGCAGGACAAAACCCCACTGCGCTATAAATGTGTAGACAGTCCGTGACACACTGAGCAACCGGATGTCTGGCAAAACCAACCTGGTGAAAACTATATCTCCTTTTACGCATGTACCTTAATGCCATTCTTACATCATTAGCCCTTAACATTCACATTTACTGCTGAGTCAGGTCTCTACGTGTGTTTTGAGGCCTTTAAACATTTTTTAAAATTTTATTTCTTCCAAACCTAACAGTTAAACTGTCTAAGTAATATAAAACGTTTCTGCTACACTTTGCATAACCCCCGCACAGAGAACTGCCACACATTCACTTTGCAGTTCCATAAAATCGCTTTTATACAGTTACCAGTCTAAAACTAATGCCGTTTCTTGAAGTCTTTTCTTTTTAATATCGTTTTCGTAGTTTACAATGTTGGCACCATCTACAATGGTATCTACTTTTGAAATATTTACAAAAGGTTCTTGCGATGCAATCGTTTTTCCAATCGATATTTGACCTGTCTGCTGCAGGACAACCCGTTACCGGGCAGTGTTTTCTTTCCATTTGAAAGCTTTCTTTATCAACCTAAACTCCTAAAGCGATTGACTCAGACCATAAGGGAAAAAGCACATAATATAGTATAATCAAATTATTCCCAATGTCTTTTTTTGGTGGAACCCCCACAGCGACCACCAAGCTTTAGGAAAAATATTGCATTGTGACGTCACCAATATGCAATTGTGCATGTAACGTCATCTGTCCTGCGCTTTTAGCTACTTTTGGAGCTAGTGCTAGCTTCTTCCATAGGAAAATATTTGGCAACATTGCTCTCAGAAAGTGGGTATAAGCCTTGTGCTTTAAGTGAAAGAAAAACAACTCCTCGTGACACAGCTTGATCGTGGGGCAGTACAATTGTTCCCCAAGCATTTACATTTCCTTTGATTTAGCCAATGCAGTTTGATTTGAACCTGTTAAGCCCTGAGCCTGTTTTTCAGGTCTCAGGCTCGAAAATGACATTCCCAGAACAAATGACCATATCTTCCCTTCTAAAAGGGTTAAATTAATAAAAAATGTTCTCAAAATAATGATAAACCTGTGAGTTGGATGTAAAAAAGTCAGAATCAATATCAGTGTTTCCCCTAGGATGGAGTCATAGCAGCGGTGCTAAGGCACGTGGGCCCAGCATAATGTGAGCGCGGAGCGCGTGGAATTTTTTAGTGTGTGCGCGTGCGAAGTGCGCCCCGCCAATTTGTTTCTATGTATCAGCACAAGAAAGGCTCTTGAGGCCTAGTACCAGGGCCGGTTCTAGACAATTTGCTGCCCTAGGTGAGATTTTAGGCGACATTTTATGTGTAAAGAATAAATAAAAAATCTCTACAAAAGACAAATACACTGCAAAAACAGAAACTTATTGACATAGGTAATAGACGTCAAAATGGCTTCAAATGTATTCAGTATTGTATGAACATGTTTGAATTGGGGGGTGGACGTCACATCCTCTAGGGGGGTCCGGGGGTATGCGATTTTTTTTTGAACATTTTACAGTAAAATGCTTCAATCTGGTGCACTTTGAGCACACAATTACTAGAGACCTGATCTAGGGGGTACAACTCTAAAACGCCCATATGAAAAAGATCGGTTTACATTTTAATAATCAAATAAGTATGTGAACATAACCAATAACCTACCATAGCCAATAACAAATAAATGTAGCTTATTTTAATTTTGTTGTTCATTCATATCTTATTTTACCTAGTTAACCTAGCGCCCACCGTACAGGGAAAACTAAACGTGTAACCGGGGTGAAAAGGGTGTTACATTTACTTAATTATGAATGTTGTTACATCGAGGCCGAACATTTGGATGAGCGCCAACGTTCAAAAATGTTTTTTCCCTCCCAGAGCTACCAGCGCAGCGCCCCCCAGATCTGGCGCCCTAGGCGACCGCCTGTGTCGCCTATGCCAGTAACACAAATACTACAAATCCACATAACAAACAATCAAAAATGAAAAATGGTCGCCACTTATTATTATTTTAAGAGGGGCTCTCTGCTGGAACTGCTACCTCCGCGACCCGACCACGAATAAGCGGGAGAAGATGGATTGATGAATTTATACAAAACCTGAGAACAGTCTTGTCCAATTGTTGCCCTAATTAGAGGCAATATAGGCTTCACATGTCTTTAAAAATGTTGTTGCGACCAAGTGGCTAAATGAGACTAATTGTTCCAAAACCCCCATATTCCGAAAACATTTCCCAACGGTGTGAAAGCCAATTTGTTCGACAGTCTGTTATTCCGACAACAACCTCTCAATCCTCTGAAGGCTCATTGCTCTAAAAAACACACACTCTGCTTCTCTGCTTCTCTAGCTAGTACTGATTGCTGTCATATGTTGGATTAAAGCCCCTAGGGAGTGATCCTGGCGTTAAAGCACATTTTTGTAATGTGAAAATCGTGGAAAACTTCTGTCACTTAACATCATTGGGACCAAAAATACTTTTTCCCATTGAACTTAAATGTTTTTGTTTTTTTTAAGTTAACCCTAACACAACAACACAGGACCAACTCTTGAAATAATGAAAATGTATTACAAAAAGTTGTAAACTGCACTAAAAGCTAAATTCAGCTCATTTGAGGCGGGGCTTAGGATGCATATCGTAACGGACCTAGCCCACGGCGATCAAAGTATCATTTTAATCGAGAGTCACTGGTTTTAGGTTCATGCGCCACTGATTAACTTACAGAAGAAAAACAGGGTCATCCATGTCTTAGATTGGCTAAGTTATGATGAAAGCTGTGAAACTAATTAGGGCGTTGTAATTGTAAACAAATCAGAGGCAGATTAGAGCTGTTTCTGCCTTATTCAGCATTATTACTAGATGTGTGCTTCTGTTTGGTGCATGGAGTTTTTTTGTACTTGTATGGGAAGCACAGGTGTTACTGATAACCTTAACAATGGCATTGTACTTTAAGTGTCCCAATAATAATCCACTACATTGTGAAAGTGAACCAGCACGCACAGTGCCTTGACCCTGAAACTGAAACAGCAAACTGAGCCCTCATTCATTGTGGTATTTACATCCATGCTTTTCTCAGGTTAGTTTGTCCAAATGTATACTGGGAAAAATAGCTATGCTGGGCTTTCTTTGCTGTTTTCTCGAACCTGCACAACCGAGACCACTCTAAACCTGACAACACATTAATCATCATATGAGGAAAGCTGTAACACATGCAGCCTGGGTCCCTACTCTGCTAAATCACTGTAAGGCAATCTCTTCTTGATGCCTGTGACATCTGTTTTTAATAAGTGGCTTGGGGTTTCAGTGGTGTGTGCAGCAAGGGCAAACCACTGCCATCTGACAATCTGATTGAATATGTTCCAGTCAGAGGTTGCACTTTTTCACTGTCCGTCATTTTGACGGACAGGATCGCAACATTTCCGTCAAAATCCATTATTACCCGTCGGCAGTGGCGGTTCTAGAACATTTTACATGGGGGGGCAAAGGGGGGGCAAGAGGTCATGCCAGTGTGGCATGGGAGGGCGGAGAGTACGTGGTATTTACTGTATATAATCTATTTATTGTTAATTCATGCCCTAACACAAGTGTTCTTAATGCACAAGAGAAACAAGGTGTTCAGACAAACAATCGGGTGCCCTTTGAGTCCCCCAAGCTTACTTCAATAATTTTAAATGAAAGGAAACTACAAAATGTATTTTAAAGCAATTAATTAATGGAACAGGTTGTTTTGCCTTACAATGTAAAACTAAATGTATATATATATTTTGTTTTTAAAAAAATGGTTGTCTTAGTAGTAGTAGACAGACATATTTGCATGTCCTCACTAAGCATTATTACATATTAATTTAATAATAAACAAATCAAAATTGGCAATTATCCCAAAATGTTGCTGCTAATATAATCATATGCTTGTCAACTTTAACTGATCAAAAAGAAATTCTGAAAAAATACTTGAAATTGCAATATTGACACACGTCCCTCAGTTTGTTTCAACCCCGTCAAGCCATACCATTTACCCTCCTATTAAGCTAAAATAATGGATCAGTCCATGTGTGATCTGCATTGAGGGAATTACATCACAAAAGTCTTCTGAAGAAAAGATGGGCAAGTGTCAGTTTCTTCTCTTATTTCAGTTTTTGTATTTTCAGATTAAGATTGACATGCTCAACATTTCAACTCTGTTATATGAATTAATAATATTAAATAATTATTTATTACAAAATATTACAATTTTGTAATGTCCTTGACTTCCATGTGGTGCCATATCTTAGCTAAACAAGGTCTCAGGCCTACTTTTTGTCAAAAACTTCAGCCCTGTTACATTTTTTCAAGGAAATTCCTAGTAATTATTTATATTCTGTGCCTGAGGTGGGAACATGTAAGTAGTCCACTACCAGATGTTATGACCAAACATTTTGGTTTCATTTTTCAAAGATGTAAAGACCCAAAAGGCACCCGATTCAGAGAATACTCAGAATTCTGCTTACTGTAAGTATAGTAAAAGTACTTAGTTATAATTAAGTACACAAATGACATCACCCATCTCTTAAGAGAGCTAAAGGTGACCTGTGCAGCAACACGTTTCAATAAATATTTGTCAATACTAAGAGCTGCTAGATTGTGCTGCAGAATAAGAACATACCATGTGGTCCAACTGAAGTTTCATCTGCCTCCTGATCACTGCCACTGTCCCTCTTTCTGACACTTCATCTTTATTCCAATCCTCATATAGCCTACATGTCTTCTTCTTCACTAATGTCTTCATCTCCTCCTCTTCCTCCTACTCTGATCCTCCTGGTCTCTTCAGTGAACTTTATTTTCCTTTTCTTCTTTCTGTTCGTCCTGATCACTTCTCAGATATGTATTTTTGTTGTTGTTGAATCACTCCAGCTACTCTGGCCTGCAAGAGTCTACTTGTGAAAAGCACTGGTACAAATGCTTGTATAACTTTACACGTTAGGGCCATGTAGCTAATAAGTAGCATATCATAAATATAACATCAGAAAGTATTTATCAAACGCACACAGGCAGCTGTGTTTAGATCCAGTTTTACAGCCTAAATCGCATGTGTCTCGCGTTCACTCTATCAGCCCTCCACTCTCGCTCGCACTCGCTGCTAATTTAAGTGGAATTTAATAGTACCGGGGCATACGTTTAGGCCAAATAAAACGTGATTCGATCTCCCAGCTAAGCGGCTGTCCTGTGTAAGTAGCGCTATTTTTGTAAAGCGTAACGCGCTCANTTGGTGTGTCTCTGCGCACGTCTGAGTGTGCGTGTGTGTGTGTGTGTGTGCTCACTGCCTGTGTGTGATAAGCCTGGGGCAGACCCCTGGGGCTCACTCACACACACACACACACACACGCACACTCAGACGTGCGCAGAGACACACCAATTTATGCATACCGCCCGACACACACACTTGCATACAAGCCTGTAGACGCACAGAGCGCTTGTCTCGCGCTGGTGTTTTAGCGCCGCGAGCTCTGGGCTTATCACACACAGGCAGAGAGATATGAGGGCCTGAGAGACAGAGACACACACACACAAACACACACACACACACACACACACACACACACACACACAGCTCTCATGCTGATTACGAGCACACACACACATACGCATGGAGAAATGCGTTATGTCCCAATAAGCACATGCACAGGCATCCTGACGTGTTCCTCTNGGGGGACATCGCTCCAACTGGTTTTCACTCGCTGCCAACACTCTGTTTGCCTGCTGGAGAGAGATTCAGGAGCGCTGTGCTGAAGCTCCCCTCTGGGGGATTCCACGTGCTCTTGATGTGTGTGTGAGTGTGAGTGTGAGTGTGAGTGTGTGTGTGTGTGTGTGTGTGTGTGTGTCGATCTGTACGAGGGAATGAGAGCAAGTGTTGGAGAGACTGACGGGTAGAGAGTGTCGATATACAGCTTGCCTAAGTGTGTGTATGTGTGTTCGTACGTGTATTTCCGTGCCGCTGACGAGTATGTGTGTGTGCGTGTGGCTGTGGAGGCGTAGCGCTAAACCTCCGAAGCCGTGTTTAATATCGCTGGGAGAGAGCGAGGAGCTTAACACGAGAGCCCCTGCTTCCCGCCCCACACACACACACACACACACACACACACACACACTCCTCCGCAGTAAAATGAGACACCACTCCCCCCTCCTCTTTCCCTCCGTCCTCTAATCTCCCTCTCTAGAATGCTTCCCTGCGCTCGCCTGCAATCAATGCATCACTCAGACATTTAACCCCTTATAGCGCTGCCTTGTATGCGCCTATAATACAACAGATGTGTGTGTGTGTGCGTGTGAGTATTTAAATGCGCATGACATGTGCAGGTAATGCATGAATGGCTCTCCATGTGTGATAAAGAGCCAAACGTCTAAGCAGTGAGTTTGATGCCTGCCTTGACAAGTGCAGCGTGTTGATGTTCGTGTGAATGTGAATGTGTTTGTGTAAGAGCCAGCCTGCTGTTGAATGACTGCTGGGGTAACAGTGGAAGCCCCATAATGTAACCATCGCATATACGGTTAATTCATCTCACACTGACAAAAAAAAAGAACTTGTAATATTCAGTCAAAATAAATTAATCCAGTCTCAAACAAAAACTAGCTATATTTAACTGTTCTGGTTATACCATAAAGCGTTTCTAAATTAATAGCAAATATCCTTGCCTATGAGTCTTTGAAAGCTTGGTGATGTAATGACTTAGGACTAATTGCCAAAATACTGTGGATAGTGAAACAACTGCTAGCATGCTATACACTACTGCAGCTAGCACAATGTTAAAAAATTAAATAATACCAGTCAGCAAAATAGCTAGCTGGCTAATCGCTTTCT